ACATGCATTTTACACAGAATATCAGCCATTGGAATTTATTGTCAGCTGCCATTCAGAGCGACCTGCATAAAGGGCTCAGTGGAAACTGATAAAATGCACAGGACCTTTTAAGTGCCACGAGCAGGTAGAACTGATGGGCATGCAAGATACAGCTGGCTCAGCTGGACTGGAGGTTTCACAGTAGCAAATCTGATGCAGCATGGCCATCAGCACAAAGCAGAGGTATCTTCCTATCTGTGTTAGGTAGTGTAAGACAAGATCCAAACAGAACTGGCCAAGGCCAGTATCAGCAAAGCCTAGTGTGGCAGACACCATCACTGCTGAAACCTGCATGGGCTTGTTCATCTCAGAAAAACTTCTCCATGCAGAAGTGTTGAGAGAAATACTTGCCAGTATATTTCCTTATTTCATGAAAGAGAGAAAACTTTTGTGGGGCAGCATCACACCACCTTTGTGCTCCTCCTTTTTCTCATTCTGACACAAGGGTGGCATTCACACTGATCATATAGTTCATAAGTAATGGTGTGTGTTGTCATGCTCTGGTCATACACACAAAAAAAGTTAAAAGTGTCATATTAGTGTAAGGTTTTGATGTTTCCAAACACATTGTTTAGAGCCATCTTTTTATGCAAGCAAGTCTGGTTTCTTTTTCCAAATGAAATTGGGAAAAAAAGAGAAAAGAAAAAAGAAAATAAAAATGGGGAAAAAAGTAGAAGTAAAGGAAGAGAAACATTTTTCCTTGTGACTGGAAAGTCCACTTCCTGACTGACTATGTATGTGAGACTAGAGTAGCCAAAGCACAAACACCAGGGCTGACTAGAAATTAGGCTTTAGCAAAGATTCAGTGCACAGTGTTAGTTCTTGAAAAGATAATTTCTTTTTTTCTCCTTGACTGGGACTTAACGTTTTTATTAACTAAACTGAGCTTAGAGACCATGCTTTGTCCTGCTGAAGGCAGGTTCAGGACATTAGTGACACTTTTAAAATAGAGACCATGGAAATGTATAGCACCTGGGAAGCTGTGCTGCACACTGGATGTGCAGACTACTGGTTGCCATTGCTTGTGCAGTGCCCTGACATGAAGGACACTGCAGAGGCATAACACAAACTGTGGTTCCTCATGTCCTTATCATGCCTAACATGATAGGGAAAGAAGGTGAAAGAGGGACACAAGGGAAAGGGGTTGTAATCTCCCTGGCACAGTGCAAAAGACTGCAGGACTGGAAGTGCTGGGCAGCTGCTGTGCCAGCTGACTGGAAGATCTGGGAGTCAGAGCAATTGTACTGCCCCTGTTCCCAATCTCTCTGAAGCTGGTGCTTCCAGGAAGGATTTGGAGCACAGCCATGCTGAGCACACATGCGAAGTGTGAGCTGTGGGTGTGAGCACTCTGGTTGCACACACGCTGCTTGATTCTTGCCAGTAGTGTAATGAAAGGTACAAAGCGTCCACATGCCCAGCCTCATCTAGAGAGGCCTTCTGACAGCCTTGATCACAGCTTGCAGATCTGCAAATACCTTTCTTCTGCTGGGAAACTAAAGGCAAAAGCTGAATTACTCTAATCATACAGCCATGCACACAAGCCCAGCTTTGCAACAGACAGAGTCAAGGTTCTCACCCAGATTCCCTGAATGATCTAGCCCCCACACAAAATTACCAGTGATCTCTGTAGCAAAGGAGACACAAAATTCCTGCTGAGCCTGTGGTTTGCCTCTGATGTACTTAGTGCCTTGCAGGAATAATGCAAAGCAGTGCCAAGGTCTCTTCCAGCAGCAGCCAGAGGCCTGAGACTGCATGTTTGCACAAGGAAGCCTCCATTTCTAGAGTTGAAAAGACTGAATGCTCCCTGCTAACACTGTCTTTGGGTGATTTGTCTACATCAGTGGCCCAGCTACCACAAAAAAAGGGGTCGAAACGGCACAGAGAAAGGCAAACTGAAAGTGTGGATGAAGATGGGCTTGCATTACCTGGCCATCTCTGGGTCTTCTCTCGTACCTCAACAATTTTCTTGTGCCCCTGAACACATTTGGTCCTTCCTTCTACTATGTGATAGTTTCCCAGAAGAATACCACAATCTTATAAAAAAAACCTTCCCTGTTTCTTCTCATGCTGACATTTTCACAGGCTGCCAACCCCCCACCCCCCACCTCGTCTTGTCTTCCCAATGAGTTTAACATTTCATCCCCACAAGCTGATTACCTTTGGGCCATGAATTTCTTCCTTGCTCCTGAGGTGCCTCATTCCTGCTACAGCACAGTGCCCTCGGGGGAACATAAGCTATGGAGTTCAGCCTCACTGGAGTGTGCTGACTCCGTGCTTTCCTGTTTCCAGGCATGGAAACGTGCCTGGTTATGTGGCAACACGCTGGCAGCATGTGTTTCCCAGGTGCCTCATAGTTGCAAAGAGGCCGTGCGTGTGTGTATACATATACATATATATATATATATATATATATATATATAAAGCTGACATTCACTCCCACACCCATAATTCTCACAAAGATTAGATTAATCTGCAATGTAATTATCAGCAAATGTCTTTTAGGGCAGCTGACAACTCACAGGGGTAAACTGTGACATGCCAAAGCATAGGGCACTCTGAAATATGAGTGCCATGCTACCACTCCACAAAACTTGCAATTCCTTCCCTCCCACCCAAATCCCCAAACACCAAACCACAGCCCAAGCCAGACTGCAGCTCAGCAGCAATTCTGTGGCTCCTGGCGTGCACCTGAGCTACCTAGCTACCTGAGCTGGGCTTCAGAGATAAATGATCTTTCTGCTTTGTCAATGGTCTTGCTCTTTTTCCCTGCAGAGCTAATTCAGCTTCATGGGGGAAGCAGACCCATTGACAACATAGTTTATTAAGATCCAGCAATGATGTGACTGATGTCCCAGGAAAACCTGCTGAAGGATCAGCTGACATAACCAACACTGATGAGGCAGAGGACCAGACCTAGCTTGGTCCTCCAGCTCATCTCTGTACAGGTGAGATTATTGTGAATAACTGGTGGAGCTGAAGTGACACACAACCTCATCTACTTTCATCAGAGTTCCCAGAATTGTACCTTCCAGTTCAGCCCTTTCCACCTGTCCTCACCTGCTTTGTAGGTAGTAGGGTAACTTGAGTGGAACAAGCAGTGGGAATGCCTTCAGACAAGACAGATCTCTCTGTGTAAACAGAGATTAGATCCACAGATTGCTGAGAAGAGAGGCTGAGATGCTGCAGTTCTGGTTTGATACTTGCTTGGCAGAGAGAAACTGGTTTATAACACTCCTGTGCCTGCTGCTCTTCCCTGGGCTTCTCTTTTCTCCTCATCCCCACATTTTGCAGGGCATACAAAACAGAATGTGACCTCCTTTGGGTAATCTTACCATAACTCTGGGCAGTATTAGCAGGGCCTTTTAGCTTTAAGCACAGGTTTTCTGCACTGACAAGCTGTTTCTGCTTAACCAAGGAGTGGCCAGTGCTGTACAATTACAGGCCCTTTCCTGAGCCCGCAGGCAGCCTCAGTCTGCCCATTCAGGAAAATAAGATTATAAGGATTTTTGTCAAATGCTTGAATGTCTGCAAAATAATATTGCTGTTGTTTGAATCTGGTATACCTCAGCTGGTAAACATGCATGTTTTTTGCCTACCATTTTTTTAATTTCCTCCCATGCTGTGCTACAGACATCTCCCTTTGAATATTTACCCTTTGGTTTCCTTTCTCCTTAGGTGCATGACCAGCCCCCATCTTTTCTTCTTCCTCCCTGCCCAAGCAAGATATGTTCCTTTTGCATCACTTCTTTGTTCTCTGTGGTATTTGCAACACCCTCCCAGCCTTGTATCACCTGTGAATTCCATTCCTCCCGGTTGTGTTTTCCCTGCCTTTTCAGTACCTAGAATGACGAAGCTTTTTGTCCTGCCTTGCTGCAATTGAACCTGATACATGAAAGGAGGAGAAAAGGTAGGAATAAACTGCCCTGATGATTCATCCCCGGGGCTGAAAGATTTGCTCCTTTGATATCAGTCCCTTGATCAGAGCTCTGCTATGTTATCTCTGTCCGAGGAGACTTAATTCCTGGCACATTTGGGCTGGTGGAATCCCAGATACCAGAGCCGGTGACTGGAAAAGGAGAACATTACATTCTTCTTCCAGCCTTAGATATGTCAAAGGGTCTTCAAGGTTTGATATTCCAGGGCCTATAACCCCTTTAAGGAAGCCTTTGTCTGCATTTAATGCAACTGAAAAACCTCTAACTTTCTTCCCCCCTGCCAAAATCCATCACCTGCTCTCTCTGTAACTTACACCCTTGCAGAGGTGTCCCAACAGTTTCTTGATGCCTTGTTCCATGGGCAGCTTTCCCTACCAGCTCACCCTCTACTTGTCTGCCACATCCTCACAAGATACTGAAGACCTTTTCACCATTCCCTTATGAGACTGTGCACTGATCCACTGGTCATGGAGCAAGATGAGTGAAAACCATGGAAGGAACATGGAAAACGTATCTTGAGCCAAGTCCAATTCAAATGTCATGGTCAAAACTTAATATCAAAGTGCTGGATGAGTGGGATGTACTGCCAGGTATTGACAACTGAACTGGCAGAGGAGCCATGGGGACATGCAGTTTTCTAAATTCTACTTAAGTGGGAATTCTTTGGAAAATTTGCCTAGGAGGAAGTTTGGGGAATGTCACACAGGGACTACATCTCTGTAGGACTAGATGAGTTTTCCAGTGGTGGGAGACTGTTTTCTCCATATGCACACTTAGATTAAAATTCTATGTGTGATGCAAAATGGTTAAACATGATTTGAGATTTCAAGACTTCAGACAGCTTGGAGCTGTGGCAATAATCACCATAAAAAAAATCCTCATAGCTTTTGTTATAGAGAAGGGGAAACAGTTCACGTACTAAAAAAGAAGGAAGCATTAGAAAAACCCTCCCCTCCTTTCTAGGAGAAAATATACCATAGATGACATTAACAGCAGTTAAGATCCATTATTGCAGGAAACGTAGACATGGTGGATCTGGAGGGTAGCCTTGGTGTAATATTTTATGCAAACTTATTTCTCCAAAGTGAAAACTCGTATTGAATAGGGAAAAAACTCCACCTTCTGTTTCTGATGCTGGATTCTCTTTTAGTTGGTGGCACATGCCTGGCATGGACAGACACTTTGGGAAGTGGGAAACACACAGCAGCATCAGGCTGGACAAGAATTAGCTGTATTTGCCATAACTTGTAGCCATGTAGCCAGAGAAATTGCTTTGGCTAGTAACCACAGGTGCCTTTTAAACCTGAAGACAAGAGACAGAAGCTAGGCTGGGCTTTGTGAAGCATGTGTGAGAGCAGACGAGTCTACTACATTCCAAGAGATGCTGGAATGAGACTGAAAGTGGTAGATATGGCAATAGTGTCCAGGCCTTCTGCCTACACTGATCACACCTTTTTTGGCAAAATGGGAAGTAAAATCCTACAAGTGAGACCCAGGAGACTGTGGGAGTGCTGGCAACACTGACAGATCATTTTTTCCAGTTTCATCTTCCCCTTGGTGTAAGTGCCAAACTATACTTCTCTTTGAGGGCCTGACTGTGTGAAGGACTCCAGGAAGGATGTATGAGCAGAAAAATCCATCTCACAATAATGAGCAACAGCTTGTCCTAAACTGCTTTGTTGGAAACTAAACCCATTAATTTCTTTATCCTTACAATTTTTTCTCTACACAGAAAAAAAACCCCAAAAAACAAAAAAACAGAAAAGAGGAGGGGAGAGAAGAAGAGGACTTAAATGTATATGTATACATATATGGATGGGTGTGGCACAGATTTTAATTTTTACCTTTCACTGATTTTACTAAAAAAATTTACACAGTAAAATAAGTTGGGCTTTTATTACTCTGAGTAATTTAAGAGAAGGGGCCCTCTGTTCCCTTCCTTCATGATCCAAAAGCACTTAACATGTGAAGTTGTGTCCTAAATTACATTTACAGAAGGAAAAATTGAAGGCAGCTAGGAAATACTTACGAATGTTATTTAAGGTTTGCAGACTTTCTAGACCCTCCCCAGCTCTTTTTAGGTAGGTGTTACCATAGATCCCCTTACAACTTTCTGCCCTGAGGGGTCTTAACTTACTTTTTTTTCTGGATGACTGCTATATACAGCAAAGTACCAGTTCTGACCAGCCTTAGGCTGAGAGCATTGGAAAAAGAGAAAAGGAATCCTTTTCCTTTTTTTTTCCCTTTTATGATTACCCAAATGAAATTTGGCTCTATTCCCTCAATGGGAAGTTATTTTACCCCTTTCAGAATTTTTCAGCTCAGTATGACACACCTAAAACCCCCAAAAAGTAGCAGCACATTTATAATTTTTGGAATAAATTCTCCTTTCCCCTGCCTACTCTCAGTTCAGCAAAGGCATGTGTGTTAGAAGGGGAAAAACCTCATTTTCTGGCATGATTCATTAACAATATTTATAAAGAGTACAAGGTCATTGTGACACCAGGCAAGCACATGTATCTAACTAGATTACAGCACAATCTCACACAAAGCAAAGAAAAAATGTAGAAAATGATAAGTCACCGAAAGAAAAGTCTTCTGAGAAAAGCAAGGTGCTTTAAGAGAGGCAAATTCAAATTCAAGTTAAGATTAAAGAACTAACATGCTGAACGAAGTGGTTAAAAGGGGAACAGAGTAGTAACATTGCAGTGTGTGACTGTTTTTGCTACTTTGCTTCTTATCCTTCAAACTCCATTATTTTTCCAGTTTTTCGCTCTTAAAGTGTGTTTTGACTCAGCCATTAGTATCAATAGCGATCACAACAACCCTACAAATGTTTAAACAAAGCAGGGCATTTGTTTAGGCTTCAAAAAAAAGAAGAAATATTATAAAACAGTACTATCAAAGCCTTCTTCTTAAAACAACTGTATTAACAATCTTCGAATAATTAACCAAAACCATATTCAGCATTGTCAGATAACAGTGAGTATTTGGAACAAAACTGTACCAGACCAGGCTTGGTTTGATGCCAAGCCACATCTGTGTCACATGTGGGGGACATTAGCTGCTCCCTCAGAGATGCTGCTGCTCTGAAACCACAGGGAATGAGGCCCTGAGGTCCCCTCAGCTCCTCTGCCCCTCGGTTCCCCCTCCTGCCCCCAGGGAGGTGACTCCCTCCGTGCTGCCCCACTTGCTGGTCCAGCTGGGGGGGTGGCTCTGCTCCCAGGAGTGACACTATTCTCCTCCCCAGCTGCAGCCCAGAGGGACTTTGTAGTGCAAGTGACTATACCGGTTTATTATGGCCTTTGGGCACTTTGTAGGAAAGATCCCAGACACCTTCAGAAGCAGCTGAAATCAATGAGATCAAGTGTGAAGTGCTCAGCAAGTGAAACTCCCAAAAGCAACACCGACACCCACTGCAACCCACACCAGCACCCACACCTTCAACAATCCTAAGAGATGGTGATACCTTCCAAGTCTGCTGCCTTGGTTTCATATCCTAACTGCACCTAAGGCCATGAAAAATTTGAACACCAATATACACTAACAGGCCAGGCATGAGTAAGAAGGAGAGCATAATATTCACCTTGACTGGTGGCACTGGAGCTGCCCAGTGGGGTCCCAAGCTCTGTACAGCTCATGTAACTGGTGCTTTATTGGCTAGGGCTCGAAGGCAGACGTGAGGGACAGTGATCTCAGCTCTTGTGGCACTGCAGCTCTGAAATGTAGAATGATTCAGAAGGGAGACATTAGCCAAAGCAAATTGTAGGCGCTGTTGCAGCATAATTGACATATTCAGGATGTTCTTGGGTTTCTGTTGAGGCAGATGTGCTCAAAGGCCCTTTTTTGCTTTAAGTTTTTCAAGTAAATTTAACATAAAAACCTGCCGTTCTTGTGCAGAGATATGTCAATCCCTGCAATTTGTAAAATTAAAAAGTGCTTCATGCAAACAGAAAACATAAAACTCAGTGACAAGTTAAAGCGACTAGCCAAGTCCTGAGCTCCCTCCAGTCTGCACCTCATGGGAAAGTGTCTCTACAGGCAGGGAAGCCAGGACTAGTGACCTGTCATGAGGCACAGAGCAGCAGCACAAGTCCTGGTAGAAGTGGTGTTCTATGTCCTATTTAACTCATCTAAATTCTACTTCCTATTTCTGTTGCTTTCCCCCATCTGTCTGTATCTTCTCCCTGCTGATACTTGAACACTCACAGCAAGCAGGTGCCCCTCTCTGTCCTCCTGGCAGGTGCTGGGATGCTTGGGATGAGCACAGGCTTGAGATGAAAGCAGCAACAAGCATTTGTGAAGTAATGAAGTACAGAGTGGGGAAAGGACTGTCCATTTGAAATCATTTTACACTTCTGTGGGTCAGCACCTTCAGCTCTGAGCTTCTAACAGGAGGCATGCACATGTTCTGGTGACAACACAGGGCTGCTTCTAGCAAGAAATATTTTAATTAACTCTAGGATTTCTATCTCTCTATTGAGAAATGGACATTAGTGAGAGACTGACAATGTCTTTTGAGATTAAACTAATAAAATTTTCTTAAATACAGGTAAAGCAAAACCTCCTGATGAGAGAGGACCAAAACAAGCCCAATCTGCAGGCCCACAGCTGAATTCTGTAGCTCACTCGCTTATCTTTAATTATTTAATGAACAGCTCTGCAGGTGCCTGTCCCCCTTGGGTAGGCCATATGTCAGGAAACATCAGCTAACCCTGTCTTAAAGGAAACTCTTCATCTCCTTTATTCCAACCAACCTGCAGCAGCCTGGCAAAGGCCACAGCCAAGGCTACACAAATAAAAGAAGGGCTATGCTTTTGAAAGGCCATGGGCAAGCAAATCTGTTAGCTGTGCACCTTACATGCACTAGATCTTTTCCTAGCTCCACAATGAAAATATCTCTGCTGGTTGTCCCCCTGGACATCAGCCAGGTGAGACTCCTCAGCCTGCTCTGCAAAGTGAGATCTGGTGTTGGATGTGTCTTGCCCAGTGTTTCTGAGTTTGCTCTGGCACAGGCTTGTTGAAGAAGGACCAAGCACATTTTCAGCTGGCTCTCTCCAAGGCCTGTATGAAGGAAATTCCTTCTCAGTTAAAATTAAATTAAACTAAATTAATTAAAAAAAAAAAAAAGGTGTGTTCTAGTCCCCAGCTCTAATTCTTACTCCTTCCCCCCTCTCCCATCTCTGACATCTGCACCAAGACTATGGGAAGTGCTGCCAGGTCAGCGGGGGATCTCTGCGGCTCTCGGGGGGTGTCAATGTGACACAAGCCACAAAGTAAAGGTCTCAGAACTCTCCCCATAACCCCAGGGCCGGCTGTGGGTTTGGCCGGCACGGTTCGGAGCAGCTCAGCACCAGGTTTACCTCCAGGTTTACCTCGTCCACCGCCGTGGGAGAGACTGGCCGGGATGTGTTCTCCCAGGGCAGTGAACTGTACAGGACATCTGCGCTCACGGGGATTTGAGCCGGGACAAGTTCAGCAGAGGCCAAAGGAGCGAGCAGCAGAAGCTGTCCTGGGGCTCAGGGTCAGACCCTGCTCAGGTGTGACCTAGGAACCTGCAGAATGGGAGGAATTCAGAGGGGGACATATTTCAGCCCTGATGCCGTGTGCTCCTTTCCCTGCCCCCTGCTCTGTCCCCACCCCACCGATCAGGCTCTTTAACATGACAAAGAGCCCGGAGGAGCGGGCCGCGACGAATACTGCGGTCCCAGGCCGGGAATGGCCGGCTATAAAGGCCTGTCTGCGCTCCGGGGCCACCTCAGCTCGGCGGTGGGACCTGCCCCGGGGTGCAGGTGACATCTGCCGTGAGGTGGGGGACCCACCCTGCCGCTGCTCCCCATGTACCAGGCGTGCCCCGGCGGGGCTGCCATGGGCTTCCTGGAGCTGCACTGGGGCGAGGCACGGCAAGCGCCCACAGCGGCCGGGCCCGCGGGCATCGCCGCGGCCAGGCAGTGTCCTGAGGCGGGAGCGAGGAGGCACACAGCAGGTAAGGCCTTGCAGCTAAATCCTGGAACTGATCGCTGATCCCCGGGATACCTCTGCTCCCAGGTCAGGCTCAAATGACTTTGAGCGGGTTTTTCTCTTTCCCTGCCTTGGTTTCCTTGTGTGTGACCTAGACAAACTGCGGTGTGGGAGGCAAGGGGGAGGGTGACCTTGGTCAGTCACACCACTTTTCCATGCTACTTCTCTGAGGTGACTGCCAACCGGTTTCCTAATTTTCCTAAACCTCAAAAAAGCCTGCAAGAGTCCAGGCACTGTCAGGTCTGTGCTCCAGGCTGAAGGGCAGTGTGACAGCTTGCTCTTATGGAAGTTCTTGGTACAGGAATGTCTGCGCCTCCTTTTAGTTTAATGCTGTCATATGTGCCATCGAGAGAAACAGATCCTGGAGATACTTCTTGTGATACCCCTTACAAACTCCTTGCGCCTCTTACGTGCTTATTAATCATGATCGAAGGCCTGCTCTGAATAACTGGGTGCTGGGAGATCTGCTTCTTTAAATCTAGCATTGTTACTCACTGCTTCTGTCATTTTGCCATTTTCATCTATTTCCATCTTGCTTCTGTGCTCTTGTTGCTTTACCTTCCACTTTTGAACCAGAAAGTCCCACAGTGACATTTTCTGTGCCTGCCATTCCTCTCCCACTCCAGTGAGTGGCAATAGAAGAGCTGGTAAGAACAGGTTTTCGCCCAGTCCCACATTATGGTCAGCAGGGCAACACTCTAGCAAGGTGAATGGGTGGGAGGAGAGCCAGGTTTTGAGGTGCCACTTTCAAGCTGTCGGTTGCTATGGAAAGCTGCAGGCTCAGGCAGAGTGACTCTGGCTACTCAGTACATGGCTACCTTCCATGTAGTTTGGAGAAAGGCTTAAGCTGTTTGCATGCTGCCTGCCCGACAAAGGCAGCAAGCAAATGGACTCCTTTGTGCCCCTGTTGGGTTTGGTATGTAGACTTTAAACCCATCTTCAAGCACTCTCCCCTCGTACCTCTCTCTTCCAGTTGTGGAAGTCAAGGCCTACAGATGTCAAGGACTTGTGGGAGCGGGTCTGTCACAGGCTTTTGTGTTCATCATGTCTGTTGCACTGTTGTTAGTATTTCTTGCTTCCTCTCTCCTTTACTTTCTTCTCATGGGAGAGGGAACACTTTTGTCCTGAGCTCAAGCTGCACACGATAGTTTCATGGAGCTTTGGATCACAGGTCAAGCAGCAACCTGGGGGAGCTTTAGTTCTACAGTGTCTCGCTGTGGTTCCTGTCTAACAGGAGACTTTCCTGTTTTCCAGGCCCACGTTCCCAGCATACTCATTTCTTCCCTATAAGGTTTTTACTGCACAGCCTGCAGGAGCCAAGCATCCTGTGATACCACACGGAGTTTTAGCTTCCATTCAGGCGGGGCACTGATGTTCAGCTTCCTCAGGGCTCTGCAGTTTAGCCCCATGCACATAACACCACCGCAGGCCCTTGCACCTCTTCTGCTGACAGCCTCTTCCTGCTTGTAGACAGAATCCCTTTGCAATCCTCAGGGCCCCGCTCCCCAGTGCTAGAGTGATTGTTTAGTAGACTCTCATCTTAGGACAGAAGAAGGAAAGGTTTTGTAGAACGGGTGGGAAGCCCATTCCTCTGGGAGGCATCAGGACTTTGCTCTGGACATATGTTCTGGAGATTGAGGAGGGTATCTCAGTGTCACAGCTCTCAGGGTGACTGATAAAGAGGTTAGGAGACATTGGTTGGGCTCAGAAGGCAGAAGGTGTGTACTGAAATGGCACTGCCCCATTCACTGCGCTTCTAGTAGGAGGAGGGGGGATGGACCATGCAGGATAGTTTGCAGAGGAGTAGCTGGAGGAGGGATGGATGGGCAGATTCATCATTGTAGTTAGGGGAAAGAGTAGTGACTGGTAAAACAGCCCTGCAGTCAGGTTGGCCTGAGAAGGTCTCAGGCTCTCTCAGACCCCAGTAATCTAGCATGCGACACATTTTCTTATTGCTGCAGCCTGAATGACTTTGCATATTGGCAGGTTTTGCCTTCACTAGGAGCCCAGATTGTTCAGGAAGCTTTTCCTTTACGTCCTAATCTCAACTTTGTCATCAACAGAGACCCCTTAAAACATGTACCAGGACAAATGAGAAGGGGCTTGAATGCCTTCCTCTGCACTCTTGAATTTTGTCCCCCATGTCCCTAGTACAGAATTGCTGCCTCCTTTCACCTGTTTCACAAATCTACCTTTCCTCTCCCTCTCCTCTTCCATGTGAAATTTCTCTCCTTCATTCTTCTCTCACCAAAAGCCCCTCTCAGACAAATAGGTCCTTCCACCTACAGTGTCTCCAGTCTCTGTGGTGGGAGACAAAGGCAAACAGGATTGAGCCAATATCTAATGCCTGATCCTCTCCACCTGCTGCCCTCACTGTGAGCACTGGCTGCACTGCCCCACTGTATACCCTGGTCAGAGGATGTTTTGTCTCTATTGAGTGCCTTGGCATTGCTGGGCAGGCAATTTTGGGGAGCCCAGCCAGCAACCCAGAGCTATGCTTGCAGTCATGACAAGGCCTTTTTACACCACAATCAGACTGAAATATAACTGAAGCCTTCTGGAGGAGGAGAGCTCACTGTGAACCGATGTGCACTGTGCTCTTGCACCACTCCCTGCCCTGACTTTTCTGCCTGGCAAAAAGGAGCCACGAGCATCCCAGACAGAACTGAGCTGGGAGGCTGCTCACTTTCAGTACACTTGTCTGTGCTCACAGATACATGAAGAAAGGAGGGTCACACAAGCCTTTGCTTCAAGAAAGCTCCTGTCTGGTAGGCGAGGAGTTCTACAGCAGGCAGGGAGCATGCTTATACACTTACAGCTAAACGTTTTGTCTCTTACACCTTTTCTCATTGTCTTTTTATTTACAGAAGTGTCCCCAGCTTCATCCAGTTCTGGGAATTTCAGCCAATTCACACCAGATTCAGCCACCAGTCCACATTCATCATCCTCGTCCCCACAGCCTACAGCTAAGTCTCAAAAGGGCAGAGAATATGGCGTGGAGGGGATGAGGAAGACCAAGAGCCGTACAGCTTTCTCCAAGGAGCAGCTGCAAACTCTGCACCAGCGCTTCCAGAGCCAGAAGTACCTGAGCCCCCAGCAGATCCGGGAGCTGGCTGTGGCCCTGGGATTGACCTACAAGCAGGTGAACAGAGACTTTGACCCACAGTGTTTCAATCTCACAGTGGCTGAGTGGTCACTTACGGAAGTGCCAGGATGGCAAGATGAGTCCCTAGCAGGGACTGAGGCAAAGGTGCCAGCTAACAGTTGGTCCCCTGCTTATTCATGCCCAGAGATCAGAAGCACCTTTGCAGGTAGAGGGGTCAGTGGCACCTCATTTGGGCCTCCCAAGTCGGGGGTCAGTTAAGAGTTCTGTTGCCAACACCTGTAGTAGAATTGCAAACCCAGTGATGAATATGTTGTTCGCCACAGTCTCTACCCTGGGCCTGACAGCACTTCACAGATTTTTCCATGTGCTGTGAACTTCACAGAAACCCTGGCATGCATCTGTTCTCTGAATCACGGGGCTGCTACATGCTGAAAGCTCTTGCTACTGTCTCCCAGGTCTTATCTTGTCCAATATCTAATAATGCTCCACTCTCAGCACTGCCTAGCTGCTTGAAACGTGCTCCCTCCTCCCCGTGGGTGCTAGGTTCACACATCACTGCCCTTTAGGGTCTCTGCTGATCTCCAGGTATGTTGTGTGTGGTGAAATGATGCTGTGTCTAATGATGACTTCCTAAAGCAGGGGGGCTGGGCAGTGGAGCACAAGAGCTCACCGTAACAAGTCCAAAATGTGCCTGAAATTTGGATCTCAGAGCTGGGCATGATGGCCTGTATGCCTTGGGAGTAAAAAAATTATACGAGCATTGTAAGTGCACACATAGAGTACACCCTGAGCTGGTTCTGTCAAGAACAAGGCAGGTGGGATAGTCTGCTCTTCCCTTCAATCCACATCCCTGCAAAGGCTGCTTTCACAGCACAGACACAGCCCGAGGGGAAATGGCCCTGGAATTCGCCCCAGCAGGGAGATTTGAATTTGGGAATTGCTGGGTACAAGGAGCAAGTCTGTCCCTTCTCTCTTTGCAAATAGGCAGAAACAGTGTCTTAGAAGTTTGCCTCTAGTGCAGGGGCCTTGTAGATATGTCAGTGGATCTGACTTACACCAGTCATTCACCTCCATGATTGGAATGAGTCGGTTTGTCACAACTATCACTGTCTCTTGACACCGAGCCACCCCCTCCCCCATCACACAGTTGCACTAGCCACCTGCTGAGGCTGCTAGACAGACCTCTCCCCTTGGCAACATCCCCCAGGAGTTCTTAAAGGCTTTTATCTGCTGCTGCTGCCCATGTATCTCTGCCATCTGGTCACTCTCCCTCTGGTTCTTCCTGCTCCTGAATTTGGTAACATTTGTTCTTCCCTCTCCTTTGCTGATATTTTTCTCCACTTTCCCTTCCCCACCCAGGTGAAGACTTGGTTTCAGAACCGGAGGATGAAGCTGAAAAGGTGCCAGAAGCACAGCCTGTGGAGCGAACGGGCTCAGTGCCTCACGCAAGTAAGAACATAGCACGTGGCTCATCACGGCTCTTCAGTCTGGGCAGATCAGTCCTGTGTTTCCTCCAATGGGGGCAACTTAAGATACGACTGTGAGTGTACCCGGCCTCCTGGTTTGCTCAGCACAGGGGCGCAGACTTGACACCACTCCGTGTACTGGTGGTAGCCCAGCAGCGGGCTGGCTATGCCACAGAAATGTTTCCAGAGAAAAGCTGCTCTCCTCCTATGTATATATGAATATATATGTGATTGTGTATCCACCCCTAAGCTATGGGAATGTACATTGTTCTTCTTGCCCTCCATGCTATTGCTGCTGGTCAATAGACAATAAGAAATGTGAAGGGATAGAGCCCCAGTACGTGTCAGGCCTGCGGACACCAGTGGAGAAGCTATGTGTTCTGACTGTCTGCCTTTCCCTTTCAGAGTGGCTTCCAGACTGGTACTTACCTGGATATGCACCCCAAATTCCACCAGGGCTACCCCATCACCGCAGCTGGCAACATCCAAACCATGCCTGCCCCCTGTCAGCACTATGGAGCAGGGCAGAACGCTTATACAATCGTGACCAGCGAGGACGGAGGAGTCTTTGGCAAAGGCGGGGGGACCTGCAGTGTCCAGCAGACAGTGGGCTTCATTGCCCAGCACAAAGTAGACTTTTACCACAGCTACCCTGGCAGTGTGGAATATCCAGGCTCAAAGACAGGTGATGGCTGTAATTTTCACCATTCAGCCACTATGGGGGCTCCTTTCCCCACCACTACCAGCCATCCTCTTTATCATTCCTAAGCATTGTGGATGTGGGGTACTTGGTCAGCCAGGAATCAAATCTTCTCGTCTCTCCCTTTGATATTTGTGTGCCGTCCACCTCAGGGACACCTTGTAGCTAGAACCTGTTTTGGCATCCAAATGTGTGCCTGCAGACATGCAGCCCTGCAGAGACCTGTTTGCCCAGGTGCACGCACACAGAGCCCTTCATTTCTGTGCCCCTACACGGGCACACACACATTCCTTCTTTGATTGGCACAGACAACCAAGCTCCCTTATAGCAAAGCCCAAGATCTGGCTACCCAGCTTATGCCCTGGTTCTTCTTAACTATGGATCTTCTAACTTGTCTAAGGGGAAGCACAGATTGCTTCGGAGATCTCACTGTACAGTTGTGTGTGCATAGCACACGAACCTAGGGGCTGTATGGAGGGTGCTGGTCACATACTTTTAACTGAAGTTGGAGAAGTTACTGCCACGTGCCAGTTATTCATCTGAAGTGTAAACCATCCCTTCTGTAAATCGGCCATGAGGTGAAGTGTCTAATGAAGGAGATGTGACAAGTAGCTTGCAGAAAGGCTGGTAAGATGATCTTATAAGCCCTTCCTTCTAGTCTGTATCTTTCTGTGCCTCCCCTTGAGAAAACCTAACAGTGCATTCAATTTGGCAAATAAAAAAGTATTTTTTAACATGCATTATGTATTTTTATGTATATCTTTTTTCCCACTGCAATAGAGCACTGCAATATAAAAACCAGATGGAACATAAATAGCCATAGCAACCGTATGCCATTGTTATTTCATCCTGAAACTATAAACAGAAATTTTTCTGTGTTATTAGTGGATCAGCTTCATGGCTCTTGGCAATGCCAGATATCTCGAGTCAAAGAAACAGGTGAGTAACTATCACCCACCTTAAGAATTTTCCCTATGCAGCAATACTGAATATGGAGACTGTCGTGGAGGTACTATAATTTCTAAACTTGACTGTGTAAGTGTCTAAGTACCTAAAACCAGATGTGTGTAGCAAAGTATGTGTAATAACAGGCCTCCAGTTCCCTGCGTCACAGGTTTTCTATCACTCCTTTTTCTCACTCTTTGATGATGACAACAAATTTCTCTTAGGGCAATGAAGTAGCTGCCATGGTTAAAAAAAAAAAGAGCTTAAAATTAAGGCAGTGATTTCTGTAACTTGAGTAATAAGAGGCATGGTTTTCTATTGGCAAAGCTGATTTATGTCCCTGTGCCTCACAGCTGTTTGTTCCCTCTCCCACTCCCTTATGCAGACACTCTGACTGTAGGTATGCTGTGTGGTGTGCTGACTTCGGCTCTGTTCGTTAATTTTCTTCACAGTATCTAGGATGGGCTGTGTTTTAGATTTGTGCTGAGAATGGAGTTGATAATACAGAGATGTTTTCATTATTGCTGAGCAGGTCTTGCACAGTGTCAAGGCCTTTTCTGCTTCTCCTTATCTCCTTTGACAGCGAGAAGGCTGGGGGTGCACAGGGAGTTAGGAGGAGACACAGCTAGGATGGCTGACCATACCATACGGCTCTGGGATCAGTATAGAAAGCTGGGGGGAGGAAGAGGGGGACATCTAGAGTGATGGCATTTGTCTTTCTAAGGAACCATTACACAGGATGGGGCTCTGTTGTCCTGGAGGTGGCCTGCCTGTGGGAAGAGATGAATTAATTCCCTGTTTTGCTTTGTGTGCACGGCTTTTGCTTTACCTATTGTTTTTATTTCAATCCACTAGTTTTCTCACTTAAAGTCTTCTGATTCTCTCCCTCATCCCAGTGGTGGGGAGTAATCAAGTTGAGTGGCTGCATGGTGCTTATTTGCTGCCTGGCATTGAACCACAACACGAGGTGCTCATGATTTGGGGAGAGATAAGGCTTTTTGGATGGTGAGTCATAGAATCTTGCATAGCCCCCACCCTCTCCTCTTCCAATCAGCAAGTGGCTAAGGATGAGCAAGATTGTTCTTGAAACCATCAGAGGGGTGGGGAACAATTAAGTCGACTGAAAAGGTGCTGGCTAACACCGGAGGACAGACTACAATAGCAGCAATTATCAGGGCTCTCACACCAGAATGAAGATATTTTTCAGTTCTTCTCAAGCTAACAGTTCTGTTTACTTACCTGAATATAACCTAAAAGCTTTCCTTGCCAACCCATCAAAGGCTACTTTAGGTGAAAAAAGCTTGCAGCTGGTCCTCACTAATAATTCTCCGGAAAAGGAGTCACACGTCATGCCCTGCTCCTTCGGAGATGCTTTAAGACAGGCAGGATTTTGCTGTGGAGGCTCTGGGACTACCTTGCAGAAAGCTGCTGTCTGTTAGAGCAACAGCTGTGATCTCCCTGCCATTGACCTTCAGCAAAGTAGTGCTAACAAACAGTACCAAATTTTGCTTGCTGTTTCCTCAGAAACACGATTTTTCAGAGGTTATCATCCAAAGACAGACCTTATTGCCACAGGTGATTATGGAGTCCAAAAGCCTGCAGCAATTCCAACAGGCAAGCAAGCAGCTTCCAGGAAGAGAGATCATTGATGTCTGCTGTATCAGGAACTGCATTCCAAATGTCCTGTGTGAAAAGAGCAGGAATGCAGCTTCTGTTAGAGGGAGTCCCTCAGCCCCAGCCAGCCAGAGGGACGCCAGGGACTCGGTTTCTTTTCTGGTCTTTCTCTAGTACCTAAGCAATGACGTAGCTGCATCTTGGGGCTCACCCAAAGCAGAAGGCCCAACGCTGTAAGTTGTAAAAGATTTAATGGTTTGGACACTCTCCAGCTGCTAGACAGCAGATGGACTTTTGGTAAGTATGAGAAGTTAATTCTAGCCTCGTTATGAAAGAGAATCCCAGATATGAGCCGAGGGTCCTCTTCAAAACTTTGGACAGCATGGCCCTCACAGGTAGGAAAAGACTTGGAATTGTGATTCCTTGGGTTCTGCTATTTTTGGGGGGGGGGGGGTTGTTTTTTTTTTGTTTTTTTTTTTTTTTTTTCTTTTATTTTAATGTCCAAGTGTAATGATTTAGAGTCATTCATGTCTCATGGCTATTCAGCCAATATGCTGCTGCCCTCTGATGACAGGCCAGGCAAGAGATGCGTAGCAATGCTTGACTGAAAATTTCCAAAACTCGAGTCATGTGGTCTAGTTAGATAAATAAATGTGCTTACATATGCCTGTAGGGAAGAGCCTATTAAAGGAAAGATCATTACTTTTATTTGCTCTGGAGACACAAGTGGGGCTGTGAGCCCTTGCTCATGGATTACTCAGAAGAAAGATGTAGCTTGTATAACCCCTGCAGGCCACATTGACATGGAGAGCAAGGAATGAGGTTGCTTGCACCACCACTGTACGTGCTTGGCCTTGTCCCTATGGGACAGCTAAATAGTGAACTACAGAATAAAACCCTGGTCTACATAATCTGTACCAGACCAAATTTCTTCTGCTTAGGTGGGTTTCTCTGCAGCACTGGAACTACATCTGCACCTTTTTTGTCACTCCACATGTTGTAAATGTGGAGTGTATTCCCACAAGCTGTAATGCATATGAAAGGCTCCAAATCATCTTATATCTTGAACCTAAATATTTTGCTAGCAAAGCAAATCACGTTTGCAGTGTGCAGAAGTCACACAGCAGCAGTCCTAACAGAGGTGCAATGCATCCTGGCAGAAAGTGCATGCCAACAAAAGCTCTTTCTTCCCCTAAGGAACTGATACCAACACTTCTGAGTTGAGTATGAGGCTGGAGTCACCTGCATCTCCACCAATTTTGGTAGTAGTGCCCAATTACCTGTGCAATTGTTTCACATGGTGATGTGATTCAGGCATGTGAAGATAACAGAAGAGAGAATGAGATCACCAGCTCTGTGGAAAGGCAGTGTCCTGTTTATTAATCCCACAGACTCTAGAAACACTTCCTGAGCAACCAGAAGTCCTTTCCAGCCCACCCTCCAAAATTCGAACAACAGCTGCTCCACATGTTCCCTCCAGCTACATGTGCTTGCCAAACCTACACACAACCTGGGCTGAGCAACCAGGGGAATAACACAGCCATGAGGGAACACTCAATTTCCACAGAACACTCCCCCCCAGTACATGGAGTAACACAAACCACAACACAAGAAATCATTCTCAGCCCCAGGGCTGTTTTAGCAACAATATCTGTTTCTGCAGAACGACATCTGCTAGCAGAGTTCTGGCTTCCCTTGCAGCAGACACAAGGAAACAAAGCATACCAAGTAGCACAGGTAAACTGTAGCAGACATCCTCTGCAATTGTTTTGCAAAGATCTGTATACCTTACTTCTTTAAAAGGGTGCACCTTAAAAGAACCCCCAAAAATGTAAGCTGCTAATTTTAAAAGCTGAAAGACAAGGCATAGTACATATGACTTGTATAGGTGATTTATATGGTCCAGCCTTTTTTTCAAGACAATTGTTGAAATTAATACTATTGCTAGAAAATGACCCAGAATTCATACACACTTCTCTTGGGATATAAATCTCCCATCTGGATGAAAAAGGACCTCTTGTTCTGTAGTACCAAAAACCACATGAACCCAGCCTTCCCCCTTTTCTGGGTCAGATTTACCTTTTTCTGCTGTTTTGAGGTTGGCAACCCACACGTAAGTGACTTATTCTTATGTCTTCTCTACACAGGCTCAAGCCTCCATTCCTCTCTCCTTCCAGTACCTATTGTACCTTGCCTCGGGAGCAGAGAATTGCAGTTGCAAAAGGAAAGAAGGGATGTGTTTTTGCATCCACGCAAGCAGGTTTTATTCAAAGAACCTGTAGCAGAGTTTGAGCATGAGCAGTCAGCTGCCAGTTTGGCTAATTGTGCTCAGTAGGAATACCCCTTGAATCAACCTTTCCGGACAGATGAAGGGTTTTAGTGGTGCAGTGTATTTTAAAGAACCAGGGATTAAAACTAAACACAACTTCTACTAGTTTGGAGTATGACTAAATAGCAACTTGGTTCTGGTTTTGTTTCAGTGCTGGAGGCAGGAGATTTAGTTACTTACTCACAGACTTCTGTTGCCGTTTGAGGTCAGCACAAGAACCCCAAAACAGAGCTGCATATTTAATTATGCAGGATTCCAGACCTCCAGTTGTGATCTTCTGAAGCGCCAGCAGGAGGCCGCACAATCTCTAGGACACCTTTTGCTCCGTCCTCCTTCTTCAGTGCTTTTCAGTACAAAAAGCATTGCTGTTCAAGGGCTAATATAAGCACGTTACAGGGCTGCACATCACTTCAAGCCAGCAGCTTGCCCAGTTGCCTAGCCCTGGAGCCTCCCCTCACCTTCCTTGCACTAGGCTACACACCTGCATATTAAAAACAAGCTGATAAGACTTCTGTGACTTGCTCCTTTTAAACAATTGCTTGAGCCCAACCCCAGGAGAAACACAGTAGGGTTATTTTTTTCCACACTTTCCTCAGTACTGCAGATCTGACCTGTGTAACATTACCACTCTCATAGTTGGCTGTTCAAATGCAAGCTGGTGACATCACAACATTAAAATAAAGTAATTTATTTGCAATTTAATTTAACTTTGTAAGAACATTAACATTAAGAACATTGAACATAACCAGAAAAAGCAATAAAATACAACATGGACATAACATAAAACATGCCTGGTAACACTGCAGAAAACAAACTTTATGAAAAATTATTCTGCAACAACAAACATTCACCTCCTTTGCAGTGGAAGCTCTGCTGCAAGACACACATAGCAAGGATCAGAGATCACAGGCTAGAGAGACAGCAAAGAAGGTGAGACTCGAACAACAAACAGACCTTAACTTCTGCTGCTCACTGCTGCAACATTGCACACTGGCCTCAATGAGTGAGGTTCATTCTCATTAATACCCAAAGTATCTTTGCCAAGGGTTAGCTATGGACAGGCACACGGAAACTAGCCCCAGGCAGCAGGGTGCTGAGCCCCTCCAGTAATTAAAACAGCAGTAGTGGAGGAGGGGCAAGAAAAAACGAATAGAACATGTGTCCCTGAGTCAAAACCCTGGAAATCCCATGGGTAAACAAGAGATGGGAGAAAAAAAAGATACTCAAACCTGAGACTGATACCCACTCTGGGTCCCCATGGGATGCCAAGGTAACTGGCATTGATTCTGTATAGGAGAGCTTGAAAATTGTGTGACAGTGTCAGAGGTGTTCTGGAATTTGAAGGTGTCTTCTACCTCCACGCTGACATAATCTATATTGTCAAAGCAACTGTGGTAGAAGTTCATTTGCTGGCTTAGTAAACCCACGGTTTGCTGGGTATTGCAGCTTGTCCCACCTCTTCCAAAGAGCCCCACATCCTCCACATCCTCCACAGACACGAACGAGTACAGGTTCTGCCCATTCCCGTAAGTCTGTCCGCTGCTGTAAGCCTGGTGCACGTTGTGCACAGCCTGAAAATTCCTGCCGGCGCCGACAGGGAAGACCTGGTGAAGCGTGGGTGCCATGTCCATGTAGGCAGCCTGATGAGCCCCACTCTAGGAGACAAAGAAAGTCGTTCAGCAGTGCAGAACCACACCAACGGCCCATTCTTTGGAATGGGTCCTCTTTTCTCCCCCAGCCCCTCCTCCAAGCCGAACAATAGCGCCTTTTTCATGCCCATTGTCCTCCCAATAGGCCAGTAATAGCAGAGATGACCGGTTAGTAATCTCCAGCTCAACGTGTCCAGGAACACCACACAGGGGGGCAAAACAGCTTAAAAGAGATGTCATTGTAAGGCCTATTAGGAGAAATACAGCTGGCTTGGTAACATTGAGTCCTGTGCATTGTTTGAATTAGCAGGTTGGACATGATACATTTCTCCCCGCAGACTGGGGGAGCCGTGACTGGTGATGGGGAATTTTACTCACCTGCGGTAGATACAACCCTTTATCCGCCCACTGGCTCTCCTTTTGGCAACGCTTAAATTTCATCCGCTGATTCTGAAACCATGTTTTGACCTAGAAGTGATGTGGAACGGACATAAGAAATTAGAAATTCTGTTTTAAGAGCTTACTACACATCCTTATTTCTGCAACAATCCAGTTTCTGATTGACTTCTAATACTGTAAACGATTTCAGCAGATAACAACGTGCAGCAGATGCAGGTGACTATAAAATCACAGAGCTGAGACATGAAAACTAACATTCCTACTCCTCAGATCACCACCGGATCTTTACTGACTTCAAAAACCCTACCTAAGACACTGGCCAAGGCAACTGCAGAAATCGGGTTTTGCAGGACCATCTCACTGCTGTGCCAAGGTCAGGGCTCAGGACTCCAGGAGGGAGTCGCTCCTTTAGTCAAGACAAGCACATGCTGGAGCAAGGACGTCTGTCTACTAGGGAGGGACCACGGTGCCGCTCCGACTAGGAGAGGCCACGTGCGTAGCAGGGCAGGTATCTTACTACATTCAGAGACAACACGTGTCCACACAGAACAGTAACCTGACTCTGCATAGCCCTGCTTTGCTGCTCTGCAGGCCCTTTCGAACACCCTGCATGGAGTGGGTGGATAGTGCTGGAACCAAACGTAAGAAGATCGAGTCATAAATTTTCACACCCTCTGCTCTCTCACGTAAGCAATGGAACTTACAAGATAACAAAAGAAACCTCTCTGGGATCCAAGAAAAACACAAAAAAGAAACCCCCAACTCAGGTGGTGCTCAGAGCAAGATGTTCACCTGCTTGTAGGTGAGCTCAAGGGCAGCAGCCAGCTCCCGGATCTGTTGGGGGCTGAGGTACTTCTGGTTCTGGAAGCGCTGGTGTAGGGCTCTCAGCTGGTCCTGCGAGAAGGCTGTGCGGCTCTTGCCCATCTTCACCGCCCCCTTGCCTTGCGCCTTGACCTTCTGCGCAGAGGAGTGGGGAGACGGGGTCCCTAATGCGGTGGGGCTAGTGGCAGAGTCGGGAGTGTGGTACTGGGTGAGTGTCCCAGAGCTGGAGGAAGCTGGAGAGTCAACTGAGGACAGAACAGAACCAGAGGAAGCAAAATAAGGCAGGGAAGACTCAAAACCCTTTGAAGTCCACCTTCTCGGGAGAATTTAAGGTCGCGGGTGCCCTGGGGACTCGCAGAGGCTCCTCAGCCGTGGGAAGCGTGGGGAGGTGAGGACAGGCCGCCTCTTGGCAGCGGAACGACGGAGGCGCCTCTGTTCGCCCCTTGGGCCCGTCCCGCTGGGCAGAGTGGCCACGCGGGCAGTAGCGACCGGCTACCGCCGCATCC